AGCCGACCCCATTCATGCAAGGAGCACAATCTCTGAGATATCAGACAGGACATTGACCGTATCTCCTGCCTGCTGCTGGAGATCTCTCCAAAATCAGCGAGTGGTGACTTTGAGTTGCCAGCGACTTTTCTCCTAGGGTCACCTCTCAAGCTAGTAGAGCAGTGAGACTCAGATCTTGACTTGGCTCTGAGGGCAATACAAAGCAGGTAGAGAAGAGTGTGTCATCCAGGCGCCCAGTGGCGAGTTAGAAATAAACAAAGACATGTGCTACTGTTTACAAAGCATGGACACTTTTCCAAATTGTAGCGGAATGGTGACGATACCTGATCACAAGGCTGCGTCATCTTCACATCAGTATCTAGCCTCACCTGGTCTGATGCGAAAGTGGTTTTCCTTGACCTCCTTCGATGAAAGTGCTAAATATCCCTATTTTTCACGTTCCTGGGCCTTTACATGGACCAAGCAGCCGCAATAGGCAGCAAATTCCTGTAGTTCTACAGATTCTGTTAGCAAGGAGAGAAATTAGGAACAAACCTCAGGATGAACGAGCCTCCCGTGCAGGTCGCACTCTACCTCCTGGTGTCTCACTGGACCATCTTCTCAGTGCAGCTTTTTGCCTGAAAGATGACTTATCTTAGGCTGCAGATACTTTTATTTATTACCAGACAGAGACCTCATTCACAAAGGAAAACATACTAAATGCACTGTGAACACAGAACTTATGACCAGTTGAGAAGGAGAGATTTACTTTTCCAGATTTCATTGAAAACCAGTGGAGACTCATATTAGTTTTGATCATGTTTACTGAAAACATTTCCTACTTTTCTGTAGTGTTGCATTTATTGTAACCCGCTGGCTTACGCCCAGCATCTGGTTTCCATCCCTCCTGTGAATCTCCAGTGCAGAGACACCTTAATGATGGCATAATACTTTCAGGAGGAAATGCCAAGCGCAGACTGACGGGAAAGCAAACTGTATCAGATACAGAGAAGAAACAAACGCTCGTGGCGCTGGCTTGTTTGCTGGGGAGTGACACATGGCGTTTGTACTGTTATATTAAGCACACTGCAATATGTTGCTGCCAATCTGCTGGAGGGAAAAGAAGCAAAACTATATTAAAAACTGGAAGCAGATAAACAACAACAGCATGGCTAAGTGGGTCATCTGAGAAGGTGGAGAGTGGCCTGCAGGGGTCGGGCATCTGGCCTCGCTGCTGTACGCAAAGGGGCTGTCAGACCAGGCAAGCCTCCAGTGTTTCATTACGGGGGAAGTCCTGCAGGCCCTTCAGCCAGTGTGACACGATAAACCAGCAGTATATCGGCCTGATTTTTCTGCTTCAGAGGCTCGTGTCTTTTAGCAGTGCCGCGGTGCAATGTAAACATTTCTCAGCAGAATTCTGAAGGCTTTCGTCTCAAAAATAAGGTTCTCATATACCTGAGTGTTGATATCATCGCAAGCTGGATGTGAGAAATGTGCCGTGGTCCATGCTCCTCTGAACCGGCCATGGGAATGGATGACTTTAGCCTGAGAGGGGTGGGAATAATTGCGGGGGGTGGGGGATGTGGGGGACATTAACAGGAGCAGCAGGGGATGGTGGCTGCAGCCAAAGAGCCTTGTGATTTTGCTGAGGCAGTGGAAGAGCGGCTGCCAGGCCAGGCCAGGCTTTGAAGCTCGCTCAGGCGAGAGACGGGCCCGAGGCGGGTGCTCGTTCCGAGGAGAAAGGTGGGTTGGGCCAAAGGCTGACCTTTTTCTCGCACGGACTCCCTGGAGACGCTCATGCAGGCCAAGGAACGACAGCCGCGTAGAAGTAAAGCCATCGTGCGGGTGAAAGGAATTCCACACGCTCAGAAATGCTGGATTGATGGGTGGCTTCCGCCCCTAGTGTTACATGAAAGATATATTACTACTGTGATACTCAACACCCCCCCCCCCATGGTAACAGAGCTGTGTGTAAAGTCATGCTGCCCCCATACAGTATGCAACAATCGTGGAATTATCCTTAAATGCGGCTCAGGTTCTGCTGCATTGCTCTGCCGTACCATTTCGCTCAGACGTCTTTTTGCTTATAAACCATGTTCTCAGAACAGGGATGACGAAGCATTACTGAGCCAAAAGATGCTGGAGTCGTCCGGCAGTCGGGAAAGCCGCCCCTCGGCCTGTGAGCCCTGTGCTGTGCTCATTTCAGCTAATTGGCAGCACATAGTTCACTCCTCTCTGCTGGCGCGTGTCCCTGCAGCTGAAGGAGCGCAGGTACAGAGCCACCGTGTCCTCACTTCCTGTGACACACAGGATGTGGGAGGGACTTAACGCTCAGTTACCAAATTTGTCTAAGGACACAGGAAAAGAAATTTTTATTGCTTTATTTTTAGATATATTTATTTTGGAAGACAACGCTTGTACACATCTCTCTACTGAAAGAAACTTATCAATGCAAATAAACCCAAGTAATATGAGGAACAGATCTGTTAGCATTACTGCATGTGTGTGATCATTTAGCTTTATAGTTACATTGAAATATACATTTTGATGTGTGCTCAACAGGTCTGAATTGAGCCGTCATGGATGTGGGCCCTCTGGACTAAGATTAAGATTAAGCCCAATATTAAGAACCACTTGCTAATTTTTTATTGAGTCCAGGTGTCCTTTTAAGAGCAAAATACTTAATCTTTCAAAGTCTTACTCGATGAAATTAAAGATTACACAAATACATTGAATATCCTGTGTTTTGAAGGTAATTTGATAACATTCTTATTTATAGACCATAAATATAAGCTGAAAATGAATCCTTATGGAACTTGATTTATATGCAAATGTGCTTTTGATATTTTAATTAATATATTTTAGTGAGGAGAGTCAGGGAGCTAGATGGAGACTCTATTTTGGAAAAAGAAGAAAGTGGTCTTGTGTCTTTAAATTTTCCAGGGAATGAAGTAAGAATTCCAAGAGGAGCAACGGCACATTTGCATCTGCATTTGTATTCCAAGAAAGTAATCTGTCAATAGTCAGTAGCCAATTCTGTCCCAGCCAATTGCATGGCTTTCAGGATTGGAGCGCATCAGGATGGGAGAGAAAAAGGGTGAGCGAGAGGGGGAGAGAGAGAGAGGGAGAGGGAGAGAGAGGCAGAGATGTGAGAGTCAGAGATCACGGGAGCTGAAAGAGCAAGACAGTGGAGCAAGTCTGTGGAGAGGCAGCAGACGGAGAGCAAGCAGAGAGGGAGAGAGAGAGGCCTGACTGGTGGGAGGAGACAGACTGATGACGGTTAGTGTGCTGGCGGAGCTGAGAGCAAGGACAGGTGGACGTCTGTAATATGAGAGCAGCCCGCTGACCACAAGGTGCTGAGACACATTCTGCAGCTGAAAGGTAAGGCGTTGGCTTGATTAACACATAGAAGGCTTGCTAATCAGCAGCTCCTGGGTCTGAATCTGCCATCCCTGCACCATAAGCCTGGGGCTGGGTTGACCCCTAAGCAGGAGGGTCCACAGGAAGAGGGCACTCAAGGGTAACTGTATCACTAGTGAACTGAACGTGCCACTCCATTCTGCTGTGTGAGCAAATCGATATCAAGTTCCAGGGAGGAGAACTTACATCCAGGGCTGCTGTTCTAGTAAGGACGTTGTCCTCTGTTCCGTTGTTAATTCCTAAGCAGGAATCGTGTGCATTACAAAAGGTAAGAGTATTGACAAATTGACAGAAGGCACAGTTTAAAAATGAAATAAAATTGCAAAAACACTACATAATAGAAAATCAATTTAAAAAAAAAACATAAGAAGAAAAAGCAGAGTCAGGTCTCATCCATCACCTGCCTGAGGCCTTGTAAGGGCTCTCCCCGTCAGCTGGAGCTCCATCGTTACCCATCATGCCCTCCGCATGGCCTCCCTCTTGTCCACAAGGTTACCGCTGTTTCGGCCAAGGAGACATAGCGGGCAGATGAGGGGCATTAGTGCCACCGGCACCCCATCTGTCTGCAGACAGCTCACAGCCCACGCCGCTCGCCGCTCCTCCATGCCCCGCGTGATGTCATCAAGCCCAGCTTCCTTCCGGTCAGACTGGGGCAATTGGGCACATTCTTCAACTTCCACTTCCTTGTTCTCCTCGTTTGTTGTTTGGTCCAATCCTCAAGGTTTCAGGCTTGTTTGTGCTGTAAGATTAACGCGGGTCATTTCGATTCGTCGTGGCTCGTCTTACCTAATAAAAACAGACAGCATACAGAGGGAGAGCACTGGCTTCTCTGAATGCAAGACTGCCGCCCTCCTTGCCCTCCAATGCATCCTGTCTCAAAGACTCTTTATTTTCGGGCCATTCCACTTAATAATCACATGGGGGGGGACTGTGGGGGGTTCACTTGCCTGCATGTCAGCATTTGAGTGCAGGATCAGCTTTCTGCACTGCACTGTCTGCTTGTTTGTCCCGTTGCACCTTTCTGAGTAATTCCCTTACTCTTACTGCTGCAGCTTGGTACTCACTTTATGTTCATTCTCCATGACTGGGCTCCCCAATTCCAGTCCTGGAGGTCATTTTGCAGTTTCCCTGCTCAAATTGCCAGGTCTGGCAGGTGTGTTTGAGCAACCCGCAAACTCAAGACTAGCCTTCAGGACCGGATCTGGGAAACTCTGCTCTACGATGTTATTTTTGTAATTTACTTTTTGTACTTTAATGTGACCAGTTTCACTGAAACAGATTCCTTGTACTCAGGCTGTGGTGAATAACGTGATGCTGATACTGAATAATGCGCCTGATCTGTGGAGGTGAAGCACTGAGCACAATGCTGATTACTGTAAAGTAAATTACTCTCACACCCAGCTGGAGGCCCAAAGACACTGCACGCTCAAAGAGGAACCTGTGATTAACATCTGTCTGTTTCCTTTATATAGCTGATTCCCTGTGGGCCACCTGGTCGGTCAGCTTAGGGGCTGCGATGCTAAGCAGTGCTGTTGCTTTGTGGCCATTTGCTACAGTCCCTCATCCCTCACTTCCTGCCTTCCTTGCATTCCTCTCCGCAGATGTCATGGCGTCCAACGTATCGAAGCTCCAAGTTTCGAAATGTGTACGGCAAGGTCGGCAACCGGGAGCACTGTTTTGACGGCATTCCCATCACCAAGAATGTCCATGACAACCACTTCTGTGCCGTCAACGCCAAGTTCCTCGCCATCGTCACAGAGAGCGCGGGAGGGGGATCCTTCCTGGTCATCCCCGTCACCCAGGTAACCACCACAACCGTCCCCCGCATGGCCAGACAGCAATCCGCTTTTTGGAAGCTGAACAGCCTCACAGGGTCTTTGTCAGACAGTGAAGGTGCTTGTGTCCTCCCAGGATTAAAAAAGAACACAAGCAAATCAGTGTAACAACGGGACGTAGACATGCATCTAAGCCTTGATTACAGTCTTTTTATAGTTCAAAAATTACTTTATAGCTGTAAATGTGGTGATTCACTGTCTACTCAGGGTCCATAAATGTCCAGACGTAGCATTCCAGACAAAATCAGCTACTGCACTAGCTAAGGTAGTGGAAAATGTTACACCTCAGCTGCCTTTTACTACCTTGTGGTAGGAACATTATTTTAGGCATGATGCAGATGCACATGAAACAGTAATTAGCAGCTCGGGACAAGTTTCCATTCCTACTGCAGGCTGTCCACAAAGCCTCGCTAGCACATGCTAACGCTAACCTGTCAGACTGAGCGTCTGAGCTATTCGCCGGGTTGGTGTCCCATTTGAGTGCTTTGTCACCTGACTCGAGATTAAATATGCCCCACATTTGGTGGCTTTATCTGCACAAGCGTGTCTTAAACGTGTCCAGCTGCTTCGAGGCTTTGTCTTGGATTAATGTTACAAGCAAAAGCACTGGAGGCTAATTTAGCTACAAAGTTTGGAGGCTAATTTAGGCGCACAGTTTGAAGGCTAATTAAGCTGCACAGTTTGGAGGATAATTTAGCCACACAGTTATAACAGCAAACTGTTCATCTGACTGGTGAAACATGGCACTGGTGTGATAAGCAGGAGCCTGAGCACCTGTCCCTGTAATGTGACATCAGCCATAGCCATTGCATGGCGTGTGGCACCAAAGCCTTTCTGCCCCGAGTCCCTGCCAAGGGAAGCTATTAGGCCTTCGCTCTGTAAATTGGAGTTATGCTGTCATCAGCTGAAACCCACTGGGCACTGTGGCATAAATAAAAAGGCACAGAGGTACCTGCACAGCCACCTCTCACTGCTTGGCGGCTACATCGGACCTGGCCTTTTGTCATTCCCTGTTCCTACTTAACCCTGTGCTTATTCAGAGAATTGAAAATAAGCGGTCCACATTTTTGGTCCCTCCCGGCTCCCTGCCAGACAGTCCATATTTTTGCTCACTCCCAGTTCCCAGTAGCAAAAACATGGGCTGCCTGTGAGTCCACAAGGGCCCCGTTCAGAAATGCAGCTCTAAATTGCTCATAATGTGTGTCGGTGGGTACCCTGCAGTAGATGGGCGTCCCATCCCAGGTGTCCCCTGCACTAGATGGCTGTCCCATCCGGGGTGTCCCCTGCACTATACGAGGCGTCCAATCCTGGGTGTCCCCTGCTCTAGATGGGCGTCCCATGCCTGGTGTCCCCTGCTCTAGATAGGCATCCCATGCCTGGTGTCCCCTGCTCTAGATGGGCATCCAATCCCGGGAGTCCCCTGCTCTAGATGGCTGTCCCATCCTGGGAGTC